TATAAGCCAGATAGAATTAGATAGAAAAACAAATACCCATGCCTAAATACATCCTAGTGAAATTTCAGAACTCCTTGGATAAAACAAATATCTTTAAAAATTTCAGAAAAAAAATGGAAGAAAAGGAAAAAAGAAAGGAAAGGAAAGGAAATAATATCAGATTACTTACATTGGGTGAGAATGATACCAATCAGACTTCTCATCAGCAGGCCTGTGTGTTAAGAAGACAACAGAATACTACATTCACATTCTGGGGGAAAATGATTTTCAACCTGAAAATGTATACCTTGCTGACTGATAGGTAAGTGGGAGGGTAAAATACACACGTACTTGGACATATCAGAATCAGAAAGCTTAGTGCTCAAGTGTCCTTTAAAAAATTACTTAAAGAAAATGAAAAAAAATAATACAAGAAAGAGGACACCATAGGTTATAAAAGCAGGGAAAGATGTGAAAATTTAGAAAATCTAGGTATAAGTTCATAAAATTCATGCTAGTCACTAGAAGAACTAAAACCAGATATCGTTGACAGGATTGTCTCTGATGATTAGAAATGGGTAGAAAGACATTTTTTATTGTATTTTATACTCTTCTATATCATCTTAATTTGTTTTTGTTTTAAAAACAATTACTTGATGGGGCGCCTGGGTGGCGCAGTCGGTTGAGCGTCCGACTTCAGCCAGGTCACGATCTCACGGTCCGTGAGTTCGAGCCCCGCGTCAGGCTCTGGGCTGATGGCTCGGAGCCTGGAGCCTGTTTCCGATTCTGTGTCTCCCTCTCTCTCTGCCCCTCCCCCGTTCATGCTCTGTCTCTCTCTGTCCCAAAAATAAATAAACGTTGAAAAAAAAAATTATAAAAAAAAAAAAACAATTACTTGATAAAAAATTTAATAAAAATTTAAAAAGGTACCCTTTCCCCAATGTTGCAGTAGTTTTAAAGGGTGTTGTCAGATTCCTTCTTCAGACATTTTATAAGAAGAAATAGTTCATTTAGTATAGGATAGTGTTGGAAAATTTTGGGGTGTTGCTGTGAAGACAAGTCTACAAATAAAATATTTCAGAGAAAACCTTGATCAATTCAGCACACACACACAAATAGTAAGATGTAGGCACATAAAAAAGATGACTTTCATTTCTTCACCGTGACCTGAAAGTGAATCTTGCAAACTAAAAAACACACACACACACAACATTCTTTCTGCTTCAAAAAGTTTGTCATTGGTAGAAAGTATAACTGTCCCGTATGGTAGCCACCAGCCACATATAGCTTCTGAAACTTGACATGTACCTAGTCCAGATGGAGATGTGCTAGAAGGGTAAAATACACATCAGATTTCAAATACTTACTATTAAAAAAAACTGAAAAATATCTCGATAAAAATTAATAATGTGTTGAAATGATTTTTTCAGTGCACTGGGTGACATAAATTTTATTAGAATTAATTTTGTGTCTATTTTTACCTTTTTGTAAAGTGGCTCTTAGAAAATTTTAAATCCCATGTGTAGGACTTATTCATGGCTTGCATTATGTTTCTATTGGAGAGCCCTGGTCCCAAGCACCAAAACGTAGCACACATTCATTGCTGCTCCAGTGGGGTTTCTATAAAGAGAGTTTTGAAGGAGAAAACTAACATTTTGGCTTTCACTTACCAAGAAACTCCTCTGGCTATGAAGACACAATCAATGCTAGCGATATTAGAAGACAGAAAGAAAGAGACAGACAGAGAATAGGAAGTTGGGAAAATAGAGACCATGACTGAATTCAGGGAGAAGAAATGCCAGTTTTCCTATAAAAAGATTTCTTGGTTGAATGACGTCCAGTAAAATGTTTGCCTCTGTCTTATACTCTTCTAATATCATAAGTTCTTCTTTTTATAATCATATTTTCTTAATACTTTCCTTACACAATGCCATTCTAGCTAGGAATACTAGCTAGACTAGTCAAGGGAATACTCTACCTTGACTTTTATAGAACTTTTCTACATGTATATTGATCATATTTTTTTATGGTAGGCTATTTCCCTACATCCATGTGGTAATTACTACTTTATTCTAATCCTGTTCGAAGGTGTCTATAGCGGCTCAGATGTGGGGAATACACTGCAGAGCAGAAGTTATCTCAATCCTAGCAATTATCTTGCAAGCAATGTTTCTCCTCATGTCAGCTGAGCCTCTCTGACTCATCTGAAAAAGTCACTTTTATCAGTAGAGAGAATTTGTATTTTTCTGTTGAAGTTGGATGATTAGCTTTTTTCCTGGGGAATGTGAGAGTGCATCTGTGCTCTCTGCTTTATCGCCATAGATCATTTGTCACTTGTGATTTTTCACTCTGCCTTGAACTATGAAAAGCAATTACAGTGTTTGTCAACAGAGTAGCTCTGTGGAAGGGAAAAGAAACAACTCAGTTGGGAATGACAGCTTTCTTTGCAATAATCAAGAGATAGGAGAAGGAAGAGAAATGGGAGAGATTAACCTCCCCCTGCTGAAACAATAGAAAGTATTAAACATTGACACTGTTAGAAGATGATATTAGGGAAAGCTTGTGAAGGTTTTTACTTTCACATTCTACCAGCCCTGTATAAGGCTGTTGTTGGGGTCAAACGCCTTACTAATCACATTAGGGATGGACAATTTAGCATGTAGGCCAGCGGGTCCTCTAACAATGTTAAATACGTGAGAAGATCCTTGGCCTGTGGTTCTGTTTTCTACTTCTATTTTAAAGTCTCATAACTTATTAGCATAAGATATTATGTCCCATTACTAATATGACTGGCTACTTTATAGAGACAGTAATTTGTCATTTCTTTTTCCTGCTATAGATGTTTTACCTCTTCCCAAGTTGAGGATGAAGCCAGATCTTTCATTTATTTTCCTACATGCCTTTTGTGTTACTGGAGAAAGCAGCAGTTGCCAGGCAAGAGAACACAACTCCTTCTCAAGATTTTTTTTTTTTTTTTTTTGCATAGCCTTAGCTCAGTGAAAATTACATAGAAAGTGAGGGTGATAGAGGTAAGTGCTTGAAGTTTAACAGGAGAAAGCCATGGAATCCAAGGGGTGAAGAAGATTCCTGAGACTCAGAGATGGGGTGGGGTTCTAGGAGGGTTTCTGGTTCATAGGTATCACCCCAGGTAGGGGACCGGACAATGCCAGGATGGTGAAGTCCAAGTGTGTGGTCTTGGGAGCCATGCATAGATGTCCTCTGCCTATCTTCAGGAGACCATGTGGGAATAGACAGTGTGTTTATTGGAGACCAGTGTAGATAGCAGTCTAAAGGACCCTCATCCAACTCTTCCCACAACATTCCAGGACCTTTAGTAATACCTGAGAAGGTGAAGAACTCTACCAATGAATGAGATTGAATTTCCCACCAATTGGATGGTTAAAAGCTCAGGATGGGTTAAGACTGTTTAGAATACATATCAGGCTTACTGTAATGGTACCATTTATGAACATGCTTTCTTGGACAATGACCAATCCGTGAATGAAATGAAATGAAAAACAAATTGTTCACAGAATATGAGAACTAGATGTGACTTCCATGTTTATCTAGTCCACTCTTCTTTTTTAGATAATTAAACCAAGGTTTAAAAGACTTAAAAGAACTTGTTCCAAGTTGTTGGCCTAAAGCCAGTGCAGAGCTGTGGCATAGGGTCATCAACCTTCATCCCATTTTTCTTTCTACTTCACCACTTGGGAAATGTAGATCTATTTGTGGTAATTAAATATATTATTATCTCATAGTGGCCATGAAAATTCTCATGAAAGTAAGTCTCTTACTTTTAAAATGAAATGAAGAAATTGGAACTATAAAAATATAGTCTCAAATTGTGGTTTATATACACAATGGAGTACTACGTGACAATGAGAAAGAATGAAATATGGCCCTTTGTATGGATGGAACTGGAGAGTGTGATGCTAAGTGAAATAATCATGACAGAGAGAAGACAGACATATGGTTTTCACTCATTTTATGTGGATCCTGAGAAACTTAACAGAAACTCATGGGGAGGGGAAGGAAAAAAAAAAGGGATTGGGGATAGGAAAGCAAAACATAAGACTCTTAAAAAACTGAGAACAAACTGAGGGTTGATGGGGGGGGGGGGGGGGGGGGGGGGGGTGGGTGATGGGTATTGAGGAGGGCACCTTTTGGGATGAGCACTGGGTGTTGTATGGAAAACAATTTGACAATAAACTTCATATATTGAAAAAAAATAAAATAAAAATACAGTCTCATGGTAGAGGTAGAAAAAAGAAACATGACTGCATGGACTTCCTGGTTATTCCCCATTATAGAAATTGTGGGGAAAATGACCTGAGCAACAATTACAATAGTTGATATTACAGTTTCTGAGAATTAAATACCTCTCTCTAAGGCAGTTTCAATACAGCTATGTGTTTGTATGTGTTAGTATACATACACATACAGAAATCTGTTAGCTATCAAACACTGGGTAGGAGTTTCTTTTCAGGAGTGTATACATGTTTGTATTCAACCTACTTAACAGCTAAAAAAAAGATTTATTTACACCTTCTGGTTGGGTCTTGTTTCTTAAGAATCATCCTACATGATACTATTTCTAGTGTAAGTATTGTCATTATCCAGTCTTCTTTAATCTATGTTGTCACACGTTGTAACCATTTGCTCTTTGAAGGCAAAAGGCTGGTTGGAGTTTAACTTCTTTCTTTCTTTCTGGACATCCATGCCAGAGAATACAACTATCCTTTGCAGAAGAACTTCTTTCTAGCTGCGTGAGAAGCTTGCACTATGATGAGGAGGCCTAACCATCAGGAGACCTAACCAAGTAACTTGGGGTTCATTCATCAGTCCCTGGGTCACTATGAGTTCAGACCCTGCTCTAGCCAGGCTCAAAGGGAAGGGTGTGGGCAGGGTGATGTCCACATGGTGAAAGCCAGTCCTTTCCATGAGGCATCACTGAGAGGTGCTGCATCCCAGGAGGTTGGTGGTTGGTGTGGTGTGTCCGCCCTTATTCAGCCATCTGTTCAGATATTCCGATAGGGGTCTCTGTGCCAGCAGGGCCCATGGCGGATGAGGGTAAGCAGCAACACCACGAGGACACCAGACACCAGGCAAAAGGCAACAGCAAGGACAACCCTTAGAACTGTGGAAAAATTGGAAGACCCATAATGTAAAATTAATGGATTAGGAAAATATGAAGATTATAAAATGAGGAAAATAGGAAGATCACACATCAATGTTGATTTCTGCCTTAATTGTAAAAATTCAGTGGTGTTTCTGAAGCAACCTTGAAACCAGTAGTGTGTGCTGAAAAGACACTAGACTAGGAGTCAGGAAATGACCTAGGTTAGTTCTGGCATGACCTTTGACCTCTGAGTCTCAGCTCCTCCACCATAAAGGGAGGGTGATTGACTTAAGTATTTCTTTTTCCTTTCCTTTTCTTTTATTTTCCCTTCTTCTTCTTCTTCTTCTTCTTCTTCTTCTTCTTCTTCTTCTTCTTCTTCTTCTATTTTTTTTGACTGAAGTATTTCTAAGGTCCTTTCCAGCATTAACTTCATGCATTTTTATACAGTTAAAATGATCAATTGTTCATGGTCTCAGTGTCAACAGAAATACTATCATTAATTGGGTCTAAAAGAAATGGAATATCATCTTTTAGTTTCTGAATTTGTTTTTCAATAAATACATTTTAGAGAAGAAACCTTGAGCACATGTTAACAATCACAAGCATTTTTAAGATAACTGTGTACTATTGCTAATCTGCACCTTTATTTACACATAGCCCTTTGATAGCTGACCAGTCATGGGGAGATATACGGGGTCATTTTTTATGAGATGCTATTCATTATTACATATAGGAAGTTACCCTCCACACACACACACACACACACACACACACACACACACACACATTCACACACACACATGCACGCACACCCTGGTACACTGTAGTATATCCATCATAAATATCAATTTGTACCATTTCTAAATGGATGTCTGATCTTCATTGTAAAACTAAAGGATTGGTGGTTGGTTTAGGCAGTGGGAGAGTGAACATCTCTCTGACCTGGCAGCTCTGTCTACAGAAGCCCTCATGCTCCATGGAACACAGTTGAAAATCACTTATTTAACCTAACCTTATCATTGTAGACGTGAAAAAAAAAGTAGAGAGATTAGATAATTTGGCTAAGGATAAGCAGATAATTGTATTTGGGTTGGAATATATAGGTTTATCAGTCTCATGATTCACTAATGACTCAGTTCACTAATGACTTCCAAATTTAAATCTTCTGCAAACTCAAGACTCATATATCCAACTGTGTACTTGACATATTCCCTTGGACATTGAATAGTCATTTCAATCTCAGCGAGTCCAAAACTGAATTCCCAATCCCTTCATGCCTTCTCCTGCCCCAAACTCTGTTCTTCCTGCAGTATTCCTCATATCAGTTGATGGAAAATTCCTTCTTCTGTCTCAGCCCCATACTCTTGAAATCTCCTCTGATTTCCTCTATTTCTCTCACATCCTATAATCAATCTGTCAGTAAGTCCTGTTGTTCTTCCAAAAACTATATCTAGAAACCAATGATTTCTCCCCTTCTCTCCACCACCCAGGATTATTACAACATCCTCCTGACTTGTTCCCTAGCTTCTATACTTTCTTCCCTATGATCTATTTTCAACACAGCAGCCAAATGACTTCAATTCAAATCATGACACTCTTCTGCCTAAAACAAAGTCTGCAATGAATGCTTTTGTCACTCAGAACGAAAACCAAAGTCCTAACGATAACAGTTTATAAGGCTCTATATCATCAGGCCTGATTAACATAGATTTCGTCTCCTACCACCTTCCCTTTGCTTACTCTCTTTTGGCCACATGGGCCTTGCTGTTCCTCAGACATGCCAGGCACACACCCATTTACAACTTTTGCTATAGTTACTACTATTGCCTAGATGCTCTTCTCATGAATCTCTGCGTCAGGTAACTCTATTGCTTTCTTTGCTCAAATCTCATCTTCTCCATGAGGACTTTCTACTTAAAGGTGCAACCAATATGCCCTTTCCCCATTCCCACCCCCAGCTTGGCACTTGGGATCCTCACCTTCCAAAGTACTTATTTATTATATTTGTTACTCATTATCCAACCCTCTCTCCCTCTAATAGAATGTAAGCTTCATGAAGGCAGAAAACTTTGTCTTTTTGTTCATGAATGTATCCCTGGCAGTTAGAACAATACCTGGCACATAGGAGATGCTCAATAAATATTTGTGGAAAGAATGAATGATTTAGAACTCACAGGTTCTCAATTCTTAGTTCAGTGCTTTTCTCACAATGTCAGGATGCCTCTTAGCATCACGAGAAGATTAATATTAATAAAGTTAGGTCGTGGTGGATGGGTGCCATTACCCCTGTGAATGGAGTTTATATAAAGGTGGAGGAAACTGAAGAGAATTGAGGAAGGAAGGAAGGAAAGAGCTAAATAAAATGGGGGAAGAAGGCAGAGACTAATGATTCTTCAAAGTTAATGTTCATGGATGATTATCTGTATTTGGAAATGTATTTTCAATTATTTTTATTGGCTACATTGTCATAATAGTCCCATGGAATATACTTCCCCAATATTTTCCCTTCCTTCAGTCTTTCCTAGACATGCAGTGGGCACACACCATACGCCAGGTCAGCGGTGTGTTGGGTTCTGGGGTTCCATGATCCCTGATTTTGAGATCACCAATATCTAGTGGGAGAACCAGATAGACAATTATGAGATCATGTGATAAACAGTAAAATAGAAGTATAAAAGACATGCCATTGGAGTAGAGAAAAAGTTGCAATTAATACAAAGCTTTCTATTTAGAAGAGAACGAGGTTGGAAAGTCTTCTGAGAAAGTGATAAGATTTGAGCAGAACTTTGAGGTAAATAAGACTTTTCCATGCGACAGAATGAGTTGCACAAGAGCGTGTTTGGGAAATAATGAGCAGTTGCACGTGGCTGGAGTATAGCTTCTGGTGAGTTAAGACTAGATAGGTAGGTTGAGGCCTAGGTTTTAGGTCTGGTTTGTCGTGGGTACATGGAAATCATCAGCAATTATGACACATGGAAGTGACATGGCCCAATTTGTATTTAAAAAAAGAAGACAACTACAGAGAAAGATAGGGTGGTGGAGACACCCTAGGCCTGATGGCTATTAAAATGCCTTTGACAAGATACTTAGGGTTCAGCACTGGAAGTGTGGTCGACATTGCAGATGAAGGAATTCTAGGATACTCTTGCAGTAGAATTGACAGGTTCTGTGATGGATTACAATGTACTGGTAAAGGAGAAGTGGAGTCACGGCCACCCATGGGTTCTAGCTTGGGTGAAGAAGATGATTAGGCTATGAACGGAGATTGGAAGTCCATTAAAAAGGATCAGTTTGGAGTGGAGGAGATAATACATTTTATTTCAAATGTAGGATTGAGATGGGTTAATATCCTCGTAGAAATGATCAGTAGGCAGCTGAAAAAAAACAGATCTAGAATTCTATATGCAGATGTGGAAATAAGAATTGTAGACGTAAGAAGATGGAGGCCTGGGTAATGCTGGCTCATGGCGAGGGTAGAATGACGGAACCAAGGACAAGCCAGTAGGATGTTATCATTTAGGGGGTTGGAGGAAGATATGAGTCTAAGAACGTAGAAAAGACTCAGGAGAGACTTTATCCCTCTCCTAAATTAAAAAAAAATTTTTTAATGTTTTTAGTTATTTTTGAGACAGAGAGAAAGCACAAGCTGGGGAGGGGCAGAGAGAGAGAGGGAGACAGGAACCCAAGAGGGCTCCATGCCAACAGCACAGAGCCGGATGTGGGGCTCAAACTCATGAGCTGTGAGATCATGACCTGAGCCGAATTTGGATGCTTAGCGGACTGAGCCACCGAGGTGCCCCATATCTCCTCAATTTTTAAAAATTTATGCTCCCTTGCATTGAGAAGCATTTTGTGAGTTTGATAGAGTAATGTTCTAGGGTCTGAGAAAGAAAGCGATCAGTTGCATCTTACTGCGAAGAGGTAGGACCAGTAACGACAGACAAGCTCTCCTACCGCACAGGAACACATGAAAGCCACTGAAGGCAGTGTGAGTCAGCACTGCTCTTCTGAGATCTATTTTGGCAACGTGTATCAAAAAGCCTCTTCCTCTCGCCATTACTCCTGACGTCCTGTATACTCTTCCTCTTTCCTGTTTGAATAAGTCTGTCCGCATCCTCGTCCTTGGATTACTGCAACAGTCTCCCAGCTGTGCTCCCTGCTCTCAGTCCCACTGCTCTCTGATCCTCTCTCCCCACTGAGGACAGAGGTCTTTCTAAAACAAGAAGCCCATCCCATCATCTGTCCTCTGCCGAAAACCTCTTAATGACTAGAGCTATTCAACTTGACCTGAGACACTTAATGTCCGCCTTCCCAGTGTTTGCACTATGACCGGACATACTCCTTCCTGTTCCTAAAATGCCCCATGTTGTCTTTAGCCTCTGGGCTTCTACACATTTTCTTTTGTCTGTAATACTCTCCTCTCTCCTCACCTCCACTCACCCTGTTAATTCCTTCTTTCCTTCAGGCTTTGGTTTATTTTTTTTAATTAAAAAAAAATGTTTATTTATTTTGAGAGAGAGAGAGAGAGAGAGAGAAAGAATGAGTAGGGGAGGGACAGACAGAGAGGGAGAGAGAGAATCTCTAGCAGGCTCCACACTGACAGTGCAGAGCCTGATGCAGGGCTCAAACCCCCAAACCGTAAAATCATGACCTGAGCCAAAATCAAGTGTTGGATGCTCAACTAAGCCACCCAGGTGCTCCCAGACTTTGGTTTAAACAGCACCCCCTTTGAGAAGCCTTCTCTGACCCCTTAGACTTAAGCTAGTTTCCTTTCCCCTATATCCTTTATTATAGTATTACCATACTTAACTGTTAGGGCTTATTTAATTTTTTATCCTCCTGTCCTCCCTGCCAAGGGGTCCAGGTCACATGGGGACAATTTTCTTGTATTGCTGCTACTTTCTCAACAAACTTAACACTTGCTACATAGACACATATTGGGTACATGAGAGGTACTCAAAAAATACCTGTTAGTAAATATTCATTAAAAAGTTTTTTTTTAATGTTTTTACTTATTT